CCACCATCACCACCACCACCTCCACCGCCACCACCATCACCACCACCACCATCACCACCACAACCATCATCACCACCACCACTATCATCATCACCACCACCACCACCATCACTACCACCACCATCACCATCATCATCATCTTTTAGTTCCCATCTTTAGGGCTAAAGGTAGTGCCCCCCTCCTGCCTGCCCTTGAATCCATGGGTTGTTCAGTTTGACTGATAACGCACAACATTACAAAGATTTTGATCACTTAAAATAAAAATAGAAAATACGGAAGAGAAGAAAGAAGCAAGGGACAGAAAGAAAAAGACTTTGGCAATTGGCCCAAGATTACTCTGGGGTCTCTCCCGGCTCAAATAGTACACTTCTTTTCTTAAATTTCTTGTGTCTACATGCAAAACTGGCTGACTAGGGCCCCGGAGTCTTCATTTTTCTTTGAATACTGCTGGAGGCATGCAGCACTGCTAAGCAAAGTTGCACACACTTGTTGGGGTGGAGGAGTATGGGGAACGATCTAGTTCACAAACAAACTTTCCAGATCTTAAAGGTGAAAACAAACTGCAGAGAAAACAGATGGCCCTCTATAACGCCCCCATGGATTTCTCTGTGAAACAGGTGGCAATTACATTTTACACTAGTGCATGTCACCGTGCTAACTACTCTTGCGCTTGTATCATCAATACATCTTCTCCTTCCACAGCTACGTGTGTCCATGGATGCAAGTTCGGGGAGTGTGTGGGACCAAACAAATGTAGATGCTTTCCAGGATATACCGGGAAAACTTGCAGTCAAGGTCAGTACAACAGATCAGGGTCACATTATAAACCTACACCAGAGCTTTCAGAAGCAAATTAGTCATTGCTGCAGGGGCTCGTGACACAATACATTGTTGTTGTTAGCTGCTGTCAAGTTGGCCTGCGACTCATGGGGACCCCATGCACAATGGAATCAGACTGTTGTGATCATAGGGTTTTCACTGGCTGATTTTTGGAAGTAGATCACCAGGCCTCTCTCTCTAGTTCATGTTAGTCTGGAAGCTCTGCTGAAACCCGTTCAGCATCATAGCAACACACAAGCCTCCACTGACAGATGGGTGGTGGCTGAGCTTGAGCTGCATTAGTTGGGAACTGAACCTGGGTCTCCCTCATGGAGTCGACTCTGACTATGGCAACCCCATAAGTGTCAGAGTAGAACTATGCTCCATAGGGTTTTCAATGGCTGATTGTTTTGAAGCAGACTGACAGTTCTTTCTTCCGAGGTGCCTCTGGGTAGACTCAAACCTCCAACCTTTTGGTAAGCAGTCGAGCGTGTTAACTGTTTGCACCAGCCAGGGACTATGTGACACAATACAGTGCTCAGGATTTCTTAGGTTTTCACTCAAACTTTCAAATGACAGTGGCTTGAGCACTGGATTTTTCAGTCAATTGTCTTGCTTCGAAAAATATAAAAGTCATTTTGATGTTTTTCAAGATGCTCAATAAAAGACCTTTTTTTCTTTAAATGAATAATTATATTGTGTTTTTTAAATGACCGAAGTAACGCATATTTTTTTATTAAAAAAATCCAACAATGCAAAAGGATATAAATTTAAAAGTGGGCATCTTCACCCCCAATCCCTATTATAACCATAGTTAGCAGTTTGTTCTACAGCCTCATGGTCCTTTTCTCTGAAAGTACAAACATAACTATTTCTCATGGGCATCTTACATGTCAGCACAGACAGGGTATTTTTAAAGGCTGGCTCATAGTCCAGAGTGTGAATACTTGGATCTTTCATGTAAAAAATACTTTATTTAACTCTTATCATTTAAGTCGTCTCCGATTGTTCACTATTGCAAACAATGCTAAATCAAACATCGTTCTACAAAGATCCTTGCACCCTTTTCAGGATAAATATCTAAAAATGGAATGCTTGGATTGAATGACGTGCATATTTTGATTGTAATTGAAATATTTTAAAAGGCAATTTATCATAGGCAGTTCATTTGAAGACATTCAAGAGTCTAATTATAACATCAAGAACAGTGATTCTCCACAAAAGGACAAATATTGTATGAGACCACTACTGTAAAAACTCATCAAAAGGTTTATACGCAGAAAGAAACAATCTGATGGTTATGAGGGAGGGGAGGGGTGGGGATGGAAAAACACTAACTAGACAATGGATAAGTGGTAACTTTGGTGAAGGGTAAGACAGTACACAATTCTGGGGAAGCCAGCACAACTTGTACAAGGAAAGGTCATGGGAGCTCCACAGACACATCCAAACTCCCTGAGGGACTAAACTGCTGGGCGGAGGGCTGTGGGGACCATGGTCTCAGGGAACATCTAGCTCAATTGGCATAACACAGTTTATAAAGACAATGTTCTACATTCTACCTT